TAGTGGTTAGAGCTGAGGCAGTGTGGGCTACTGGACAGAAATGAGACACTGCCTCCCTCTCTCTCTCCCAGTGTGGGCTAGTGGTTAGAGCTGAGGCACTGGGAGAGAGGGAGACAGTGTGGACTACTGGACAGAAATGAGGCACTGCCCCCCTCTCTCTCTCCCAGTGTGGGCTAGTGGACAGAGCTGACCAGGAGAAGAGTGGGGTATATTTCAGGTGCAATTCAAAGACGTCTCTCCTCTGCTCACTTCCGTTACTCACAGCTGATTGGGATCCAGGACGGGTACCTGTCTCTGCTCCAGGACAGCGGGGAGGTGCGCGAGGACCTGCGGCTGCCTGAGGGAGACCTGGGCAAGGAGATCGAGAGCAAGTTCGAGGCGGGAGAGGAGATCCTGGTGAGTCCTTCCCCTCCGGCATGGGAATCGGAGTCTGCCAGTTTATTAGCCTGTATTAGAAGGGTTGCAGGAATGTGAATCTTCACTATCGGTGCAGTCACACGGCTCCCTGTTGCTCCCCATCTGTGCAGTCATGCGGTTCTGTGTCACTTGCTCTCACGCCTGCTCTCTGTCACTGAAGTTGTCCTGTTCCCTGGGAATCACTTTCTCCCTCCGGTTCAGGTATGCTGTCCTCTGTTGCTCGCTTGTTGTAATCGTGGGTAATAGTGCAGTCCTCTGTGACATGCTCCTCTCTGTTGATACACTTGCGGGGTCCGGCGTCGCTCCCAGCTGGCGCCGCGGTTGCATGGTGCTCTGGGTCAGTGGCACAGCGCTATCGGGGGGACTCCAGCACTCTGGTTTGCTCTCAGTGTCCAGTATTTATATGGCAGTTTAATCAGTATCATAGTATCACTCTTTCCTTCTGTATTTCAGATCACTGTTCTGTCTGCAATGAATGAGGAGTCTGCAGTTGCCATTAAGGCCATGGCAAAATAGGCACTACAGGTAGGGTGTTGTTATTATTCTACACTGTACATTCTTTATCCAGGACAGGTAGTGTGTCTGCTGGCTTTCGTTCTACGTGAGCTCTTAAGAGTGTGTTAGCTCATTAGCTGATGCTTTTTAGAGAGACCTAGAAAACCTGCAGATGCACTAGGACCGAATACCCCCGACTTAAACCTTTCCCATGCTGACTTTCTGGGTGTCTGTGTAGGGCCCTGCGGATTCTGTCACATTACTTTGTACGGAGTCTCTCGGACCACTCTGTCTGCCCTTTGTGAATGACAGAACACATTCAGCCTGCATGGGGAACACATATAATGATGCCTTTAAAAAAAAGTAATAGTAAAAAACTTCACGCCCTTATAAGGGCAGGATTCCCCTGAGCTTCCCTGTCAGGCCCTGCCTGCCTCTAGCACATACACTCGCGAGCCGCTGTGATTCCTGTCTGCGCCCATCGTCGTACTGCAGTATAACATTCCCCGTTCCGAGCAACGGCACGCTCCCTCACTCAAAACGTAATTTTATCTTCCCGTCTTCCCCCTCTTCTCTCTCACCCCCTCTCCCTTTTCCACCTCCCCCCCCCGCCCTTCTGTCTCCCTCTCAGGGGCTTGCAAGCTGCACTGGACCCGAACGAGAGAGAAAGACTTCAGTATTGCCATTCTCTCTTTCTCTCTCTCTCACTCTCTCTTTCTCTCAAAAACCTCCTTTACTCTTAAAATGCCCGTCTGGGTGAAGTTAGAAAACAAACAAAAAAAATCTATAATATATATATATAAGACTGAAATAAGAAAACCACCAAACGGGGGTGGGAGGGGGTGGAAGGGATGGATGGCTGTTACCCTCAACCCCTCACCAGTCCCCACACTGCCCGCGGGTGTAGATATGGGAAAAATGGCTTGGCGGCTGTGTGCCCTCACTACAGCCCAGCTGGCAAAACACTGCTCAGTACTTCACATTTCAAGGGCTTGTGTGTACCTGTGTTCATCCAAGCTTCCCCACCTCCCTGCTAGATCTGAGGCTGTCAGTCCAAATTCCGATCACAGGGTGTCTTCAGATCTGGTCTGACTCCCAACGCTGCCCCGCCCCTCCCTCATGTCCTCCCTTACTTCTCCCCCTCTGTCCCGGTCCTGGAGCGCCACAAGACACTGCTCAGCAGCTAAAGACATGGCCGCACCGCGTCGGTGATTCTGCTCGGCCACTAGATTCCACCCAGGTGTCGTTTGAGCCAGCCTGCGCCGAACCTGCACTGAAGCCCGCCCAGTGCTGTCAACGAGATTCTCGTTAAGAACCTCACAATGTAGCCTTTCAATCTGTGGCGCGGGGCTCTAGTCCTGTAAAGTGAATTGCGGATCAGTGTGGTCTTGCCTGTCCAGTGTCCTGTCTCCTGCCCCTGATCTGCCGTGTTTCTGAGCCGCTGGTCTGCCACGCCCCTCCCCCCTCCTTTAGTAAGATTATTAATGACTGAATCGGTTAAGTATTGAAGCGCATGGCAGACTTACAATTTGAAGACACCCCACCCCCTTCTTCCCGGGAAACTAGGAATAGGATAGCTGTCTCACCAACCCCTACCACCCCTCGAAAACTAAGGAGGCGCACCGGGAATCATCGACTGCTCCAGGCTTTTGAGAATATGGACTAAATTGAGCTTTGAAGTTGGAATGATGCATTATGGATGTTGACGTGGGGATTCCGGAGTCTGTGGCCCCGTGTCCTGGGTGACATCACCTGCTGCTGTGGCTGATCAGACAGAGGCACGTCTGGGATTTTGCTCCTGGAAGCCACAGCATGTTTTGCGTGTTGGCGATGCTTCTAAAATGCTCTATAATGCAGAAATAAAGCGCACTTTAAAACCTGCAATTACCCCAACCTTGTAGAGTCAACCGAGGGTCCGCAAGTGGTTTTGGGACCGCCGTCGGACTCGTGATTACAACTGTGCTGTTACCACACCAGAAACGGAAACTGGTCTTAACTCCTTCATTGTTACATTAGTCCTGCTACAATATCACTGGAGTAATTAAGGGACTAGGTGCAGCAAAGGAGGGATTTGGTTGAGCTGTTTTTTTCAGTAGCCCTGGTTATCTTAAAAGGTCTTTTCACAGAGGGTCAAGCTGCGGTGCTATTTTAGGGGAGCGTCAGTTAGGGAGGTACACTGTTTTTTGATTCGCTGTTAAATCAGATTTGACTCACAAGCAAGTAGCTGACAGTAATATAGCACGCACTTGCTCCCTGAACCAATGGGGTCTTGATTTGCCTTCTAGGACTGTGCCTTAGAGTTTTATTTATTGCAACTAGGAAATACAGTACAGTTCAGGTGGTGGGTGAAGTGCTTCCTGTCAGGAGTGTCAACCCTGTGTAACGTTAAAACGTTACCCCCTACCCACCAGCCTATTCTCGTGCCTCCCTGGGCTGTAGACATGTTTGGCAAGGGCAATGGATTGGAGACGACGGTAGGGTAGAGAAATGACGGGGACACAAACTCTCACACAGGTAGAGCTAGGGATACAGACCTGAAAAACCTTTTCTTTAAACCCCCAATAATGTTAGGAATCCTGAATTATCTGGCCTGTATCCTCCTCCACACCATTCCTAATTTGTATATACAGTATATATATTTTTGGGGTGTATGTTTGTAAGAATCTTTGCTCCCAACCCCCACAGAGACTTGAAGGGCTTTCCTTTCTGGGAAATCACATGAATTGGATACTTCTCGTTTATGGAATGTGCTGTGGCCGTGTCTCCTATGGCCCGTTAGACTGCTCCAGAAGTGCCCTTTGTCTCCTCCTTCCCTACAGCCCAGTCCCTAGCGAGTGACACCAGTGGACACCTCCAGTACACTTAAAGGCGATGACCCCCCAGGGCACTTCAGGCTGCATCCTTGATCACGAAATGCTGCAGCACAAAGGAAGTGGCGTGCAACTGTAGCTAGCCATTACTTCTTGGGGGAGGGAATGGTGGGATACAAGAGAAGGCATCTTCCAGCCTCACTGTAGAGAGCCACAATGTTAGTTTTATCAGGCCACCTGGAGCCAAGACAGTTCCCAACAAGATAAAAGACATGGACAGATAACCTCTGATCTACGGGCTGCTGAGCAACCAGAAGCAAGCATGACAGACCAAGCAGCTGCCTCTCTCGTTTGCAAGGCTTTTTAACAGAATGGAATACTTTTGCTCCCTTTCGTCAAACCCAAAACAATTTATTTGAAAAAAATCACTTCTGACCTGCACTACCCGCAGGACTGTGGCTCTCCGGGACCAGGGCTGGCTGAGCACACCGAACAGGAAAAGGGGGTTGGGGTTTTATTGGAGGAGATGGCCTCCATGTGGTGGGTGAGGGGGAGCAGTGTGCATTTCCTACATGTTGTGCATCATGAACACAAGAAAAAAAAAAAGGCTGAACAGAAAAAAAATTTCAATGCCGATTAAAGAGGCAGGGAAATTTGCTTAACCTCCTTCGTGCATCCCCATTTTTTGTACAGTTTTTTTTTTTTGATGCCTCTGCAAATGCCAACCTCATCAGAAGTTGCACTATATGCGTGAGCGAGCGTTACGAAATCAACCGTATGTCCTAACTTAACAACCCTGCGTTAAAACTTTAAAAAGAGTCTGGACTTCATGGGAAGATGGATTTGGAAAATGAGGGGGGGGAAAAGAAATACAGGTAGCTCTCCAGTCAAATGGCAGATGCATTTCTGAAGCTTTAATCGAAATTCTAAATTAAAAAAAAAAGTTTCCCCATAAGAAAGTGTTGATGGAGAGGGAGACTTCTCTCAAATAGAGGATTTCACTACCACATTAAAACAATTAAAACATGACATATTTATTCATATGTTTATACAGTAGTAATAAGTCATTTTCTAACCAAGCATTAATGATCAATTTCAGTACAATGTTAAGGGAATAGATGCACAGATGAATTGGCTATATACGCATCTGAAATGCTCAGCTCTCTTCAGTTCTTTCACTCCTTGAGCCTTTTATTTTAATTACATACTTTTTCCTCATTTTTCTTCATTTAGGTTTTTGGCCAATTACTCATAGACTGTTTCAATTGTTTTATTTATTGAATGTTAAAGTGGGTGATTTTTTTAAAATGACTTCAACAACGGAAAGTTTTTCATCACCGATCAGGGAAAAGCAGCTGCTGATTTAAGAGGTTCAAGCGAGGAGCTGGGTCAAGGTTAATTCCTGGTGAAGAGTCGGAAAATAATTCTTCTTCAGATGTTACTTTGCAAGCAACACAAGGGTAACAACTCCTCGCTCAAACGTCTTAATGTTTTATAAACTCTTTCCTCTGAATTTCTATTTTAAGACTTTTTCCACACAGTAGCTTCTTTTGTTTCATAGTTTTATTGACCTTGTTTTAGATTTAATTCAATGTAAGCAGAAGGTACAGGCTAAGACATTGGATCGATTTCTTTAGTGTGGGACGATGGGAGATGAATGGAGACTTTGAGATCACGGAGATGAAGACTGTGCATCTCCCAAGTGACTCTGTTCCTCCCAGAGCACAACTGGGTACTTGTGACGCTTTGTGTCTCACTCTGTCACGCTGCCAGACTCTGGCCGCACAGAAGCGTGTTAAAGTGAAAACGAATTCATCCTGAATTGAGAAGTAGTATATATTCTCGAGGAGCTTTGAACCACAACCATGTAAACCGAGAACTACCTGTACGAATCTTGTACAGGTATGTTTCACTTACATCCTCTGATTCCTTTGTGTGAAGTAGGTTACACCTCTGCTTGTGGGTTGAACTGTGAGCAGCACGTACAGTAATTGTAACCCCCTGTTTGGTCTCCAAAGTCACCGTTCTAAGGAGCGTTTATTCAACTGGAACATCTCGCTCATGTGCAGGATGAGATTTTCACCCCAAAGCAAAGACTCCATTGGTGAATTTTCACCCCCCAACCCCCCATCACTGTAGTTTTACATAAGGTCGCTTGTTTCTATTTTGCAAACGAAGTATTGACACCTTTCAGATTATCAACTGTGCATTTGATTATCTTGTAGTTCACTAAATCAGTGAGCTTGTCTTTTGTAGTAGGGGGTGAAAATTTGCTAAAGAGAGTGTATGTGTACAGTATGTATGGGGGGAAGGGGTTGGTAGAGACCATTAGATTGTAGATTTCTCTGAAGGGGCAGAGGTTGGGTTCTCTTTCGAATCTAACTGGTGTTGCATGTACAAGCCCAAAAACACACAGCAGGAATCGCTTGGGACGTATTTTAACAGGGATGCTCAGTGAACGAGAGAAGAAATCAAGTTGGGCAGATGGGGGGGGGACCACTGCCTATACCCTCAGTGGATGAGTTTTGACCCAGACAGGACGGCATCTGCTATCGAGGATGAAAAGCCTTCTGACATCTCGGGCCTAAACCTACCCTGGACTGGGATCGGATGGACAAAGCTGACCCGCTTAAAATTCACGGACTGTGCGCTTCTGCCCAAATGCATCCTGTGTTGTACAGATTACAACTTTTTCCCATTAAAAATTGAACTTTTATTCCCTGAGAAATGGAAAAAACAGTGTTGTCCTATTTGTTCGTACATTTGTAAGGGGAATACACTCACATCTGTATTATTTTTGTGGGGATAGATTTCGTATGATCTTTATTTTTATTTGTCTGACAGGTTTTGCACTTTCAGATTTAAAAGATAACATTGTTTCTAAAAAAAATGTCATTTGATAGGTGGTGCTGTGCCCCATGATCTGTTTGTCAGGAGGCACTATTTTTGTTGGGGACATTGGCTCTAAGTTTGTCCCCAAAGCGAAGGTAATATTTGCTGACATGCAGAGTTGCAGTTTGCTTCACACACCATTATGTCCGATGGCCATTAATAAAAGCCAAAGGGCTGGCTCTGCTGGGCCTCTGACCAATTTTCACAATGATCTTAGACTAATTTGCATCTCATGGTGAAGTTGAGGTCAGTTTAAAAAAAATATTCCGGTGTCTGGGTCACAGACCTGCACTGCTTTTGGTAATTCTCGGTGGTGTTTCTTTGTCTTAACGGTACCCTTTAAAGGTGATTCCGTTTGCTGATTTCCCAGTGCTTTGTAAAACTCCCCCTGGTAGCTGAGAAGGAAGATTGCATAGAGAACGTAAATTTAATTAAGGGTCCCGCTAATGTGACAAGAAACAGAAGATGGTTAAAATGTCCAAGACCAGAACTGGGAGACTAGTTTAAAAATGAATCCGCGGAAGGTGAGGCTTTTCTGGCAGGCAGGACAATTTTCCGAGACTCAACGGGGGGCCAGGAGGGGCAGTGAGAACAGTCTCTTTTTGTTTGCAAGTTCCACCGTGATACTTTCAGAGGATCCGCAGTTAAAAAAACTCTTTAAGAAATGGGAATAGCTCAAAACAAGTTTTAGGCTAATTAAGAAGGATATGCTTTATTAATTTATAATAATTACAGTTGTAGTAATCAGAAGTGAAAAAACCAAGATGGAGTAACAGAAGGGGATGTTGCAAGACAAGGCTGTTACCCAGATCCCAGCTTGGAAACCTTGTTTGCTTGTTTCTTCATAGAAAACTAACTTTACACAAGGAAAAGCTCAACTTTTTTTGGTTTGGTTTCCTCTGATAAAGCTTTTAGTTTCCTTCTCGGCTTGCTTGTTATTGAGTGTGTTAAGCTGCCATGTAGAAAGGTGTGTAACTCAGCACGTTCCTGTGTGGTAAGCTCACCTGAACAGGGGTCCCGCTAGATGGGAAAAGGAACTCAAAATGTACCCCTCCCCGTTCCGCAACATAACGAAACAAATACTTTCAAGCCAAACCTACACTCGGTGTCACCTTAGATCTGCTCTGCTGATATCACATCATCAGTTTGTTTAGCAGTGCGTTTGTGAAAGACATTTTTCATGCTGGCACTTTTTACCTTGATTCCCGAGAGATGCTCAGTCCGGAACATCTTTCAGATCACGCTATAAATCATCCGCTTCTAAAGATTGGCAAGTCACGTGTTCATCTGAGGGAACTCCGGTTCCCTGAGGACTGTCAGTTCCTGCTCCAAAGCATTTCGATACCATTTTAAAAGCGTCTTGACGCCACCAGTGGAAGCTCTGCTGATGCGATCCCAGTGTAAGTTCCTGAAGGATCAAGACTCTTCACACTCCACTGTCCCGCTTCCTAAACCCATAGCAGCTGGCACTGCCCAGAGGGAGCCACATGTCGCCACTGGAATCGGGCAGACGAGTTCGCTGTTCTCTTTTCTGGCAAGATTCCTATTTTGAATTAGTCGCAGTTATGCAGCCTTTTCCGATTGTGTGAATTCTCTCTCATCACTGCATTTAGTAGCCATTAATTTACTACAGTTTTGCATGTCAGCTGGCAAAGGCACACTGAATAGTCACTTACACAAGACCAACTCCTCAGGACAGTTTCATCCTGGCTCAAGGAGTTGCGTCTATTGTGCCTGTTCTCCAAACTGTGCTCTCGTCAATACAAGATGGCTAATTTTTCAGTCATAGCAAGATCATTTTGCATTTTGTTAATAGTTTATTATGTTATCAACATGAGCATTTTATAAATTTCATTGCAGTTACAAACAGAAGAGAATCAATTTCACAAGAATGAAACTGTGAAAGAAGTGCTGGCTCTTTCAGCTGTCTCAGACCTAAACAATGACTTGCTCTCTACTGGGGTGACATCAGGGCTATTTGTGCACTATTCTTGTTTAAACCTCATGCTCACAAGGGCCAATACTGCCTAACCTGCACAAGGCATAACCTCAGTGTAGCCTGGAGCGCTTTCTGGGTGAACACCCTTCTGAGTTTGCTTCAGACTATATGTCTGTAGCTGTGTCTTACACAATTACTGAAGGTCACAAATGAAACAATGTTAAATATTTCTGGTATAAAATGACCCCATCTTGTGAGAACGAGGATTAAAGTGTTACCTACCCCACCCCCTCTCCTGATCGGGCTTATATTCTGAAGATTTGAACATTTTAAAGGGTTTTGTAAGTTTTAACATGTGAAGCGTCACTGTTCATATGCATGACATGCTAAAGAAATTCTGATGCCTTGCTCCAACAGGTTCCAAAGACCATGATATACCGTTTTGTTGCAGCCCTAAAACCCACACGCACCCGGCATGCTTCCCAAAGAAAAGTGCAACAGATCAGGCAGTGGCAGACTGTGAGGACCCCCACCTCACAAACACACACACCTGCTCTGTGCTGCCATGGAAAGTTGCTATGGGGACGGTAGCACTGCCCTGGCTGGCTGTCATGGCTACTTGCTATGGGGATAGTAGCGCTGCCCTGGTTGGTTGTGGGAGAGATAGGCGTGGCGGGGCGCAGACTGACTGGAGCTCTGAAAGCTGGCCTGTGAGAACAAAGAAAAGACAATCTGTAAGTATGTGGACAGGTGCGGCGTGACAGTCCTGTTGCTGTCTGGCCAGCTGCCTCTCTCCTGCCCTAGCAGCCCTATTTCTGCTAGAACAACTGTCTCTCCACTTCGCCAACAAGGCATGTTTATACTAGACCCATCCCTCCCTCTCCACTCTCACAGTTCTCTTTCAAAGGAACAGTCCCCACTGTTCCTTCTCAAAGATGCCATTTCTCATCTCTCCCAGACCAGTTTCCTACAATAATCCAGCCCCACTACTTCAGGGTCAATAAGGAAACATAGCCCAAGGGAAACACATGGAAATTAAGAGAAAGACCATTAGGGATTCAAAACTGTAAGCACTTCTTTACCCAGTGGATGATGGCTGTCTGGAACAAACTGCCCTGCCATGATAGTTACGTTTTTCAGTCCCTTAGTGTCCAAGGGTTAAAAATCTACCTACACATGTTCCAGGAGCTGGAAAGATCCCTGAGTTTCCTTGGTGTGCACACCCCACTTTTCCATAAAATCCACAACATATACATAGGATTTTCTGACACTGATTAGTGACATTTGAGTCAAGACTGCTGGTAGACGTCAAACCAGAACACGGGAGAATGAAGAACAATAGGGATGAAGGAAGACCCACATGAACATCACAGGAGGTGAGGGAGAGACACCAAGACAGCCATGAAGCATGTTCGCTACTCCGAAAAACAAGGATGATATTTAAGTCACTTCTAACATTTACAAACATACATAAATGAACAGAACAATAACGTACGCGAGCACCATGAGTTAAATGATCTCCAAATAAAATTTCTCTAATTTATGGGTGTTTGTGGAATTAATAAACTAACTGATTCTCCAAATGAGCAGGATTAGCCAAATAGTCTGGTTTGTGATTTATCTTATGGTAGCTTTTGTACTTATTAGCAGTTTTGTAACTGGTTACAAAGTAAAGCACCTCTGCTGAAATGTGTCATCAGTCCTGTCCTATAGTTCCCCAATCCAGCAGGTTTTATTGGTAAATCACTTCTAGGGGCCCGTGGCAATTTATGTGCAACCTATTCAATAGATGGTATATCAAATTAGGTAATTTAGAGATTATGGGTGCTGCGTCAGAGCTCTTGACTCCAGGGTAGGGAACCCTTACACTCTACCAAGGAGGCATAATCTGCTCTCTCCTGGACACGCATGGCATACGCAGAAAGAATTCAGAGCTCATGTGGAATGAAAATTCGAAAATGAGTTTCCTTCAAAGGAACAAGGCATCACTGCCAAATGATATTTCAGCATCCCCAGTCTTTTGAAACAGGTAATTTGGGTGACCTACAAAATTGTCTGGATTAGGGTTCGCCAGGACCATCGCAGAAGACTCTAGATCAGGGGTGACAAGACTCAGGTGCAGTGTTGGCTGGTTTTTGTTCTAGCTCTGCAGTGTTTTGTCCAGGCTGCAGTGTTGGCTGCTTTTTGTTCTAGTTCTGCAGTGTTTTGTCCAGGCTGCAGTGTTGGCTGTTTTTTGTCCTTCATTATGAATGAAGGTGCCGTCCTTTGGATGAGATGTAAAACCAAGGTTCTGACTCTCTGTGGTCAGTAAAAATCCCAGAGTGTTTCTCGAAAAGAGAAACTCATGGCCAAAGGAGTCCTGGCCAAATTTCACATTGGCCTTTATCAATCATGGCCTCCTAATAATTCCCATCTATGAACCGTCTTCATCACTCTGTTCTCCTCCCCACTGAGAGCTGGTGTGTGGGGAGCGTACTGTGTGCACTCTGGCTGCCGTCACATCATCCAAGTGGGTGCTGCACATTGGTGGTGGTGGAGGGGAGTCCCCATTACCTGTAATGCACTGAGTGGAGTGTCCAGAAGAGCGCTGTATAAGTGTAAGGAATTATTATTATTAGCTCAATTTGTCAATTAACTTAACTGGCATAACAGTTGGATAATTCTTCCAGTACGACACTCATTTGCAGGCATAGTAGGTGTACCTGTACTCCTCAGCTGAAACATCAAACCTGAGGATTAAGTTTAGATCTTGAGCTGGAATGAAAACCACCTGACTGCCCTGCCCACGAGGAGTTAAGATGGGTAGCCCTGTCCTGGACATGGCAGGTCAGGACTGGGGTGACTCACCGCATGCGCTTGCTGGGGGGGCGTCCCATGGCTGAAACTCCCAGGAGAAGCTGGGCGAGGAGGGTGTGGATAGGACAATCCAGACTGTCCGAACAAAACACAGGACACAATGGAGACGAGTAGTGAGAAAGCAAAATAGGGAGATGATGATACATGGGGAGGAAGGAAAAAAAGAGGAAGTGGAGGATTGAAAAAGGAAAGAGAGGAGAAACAGAAAGATGAAATGAATAGTGACTACCACTCTTAGGTATGAACTGCAAGGCTGAGTTCAATATCACATATGCAGTAGTTTGAAAAAGCACGTCAAATACGGTGTCTTACAGAAAAATTCTGGCCCTTTCTGTGAAGCCCCATGTTTTGTGAAATGACCAAATGATGCATTCACATTTTTTAACGTAATATTTTACTTAAAATCTGAATACTCAAACTGAAGACTTAAATGGGTTTAGAACAGTTCCAGGACAGCTCAAGTGAAAAAACTGAAATAGGTGAACGGCGTACTACAGTCTTCCACCAGTTATTCAGACCTGTGAGCTCAATAACTGGTGGAAGTGCCTTCATCAGCGATTATCTTTGGGTAACTCTCTAATCTCTGAATTACAACTCTTTGGCTAAGTCTCAGTCAGGTTACCACAAGCCCCTTTTTGCAGTGACTTTGATACTGTTGACTTGTGCATTTTCTTCCATCTCAGCCACTGAACTCTAACTCGTTCAGAGTCACTGCTGGCATCATGTAGGCATCCCTCATCAGTTTCTTACTCACCACGCAGCTCAGTCTGGGGGACAGCCTGCTCTAGGTAGTGTATCTGGGTGCCTTACATGTCTTAATAATCATCATTACCATGCTCAAAGAGATATGAAGGGTCTCTGAAATGTTCTTTTTACGCTATACTCTATACAACCTTATTCCTGAGTTGTTCAGAAAGGTCCCTGGTCTTCACGGTTGAATCTTTGCTTGAAAGTTACTCCCTGGCTGAGGATCCTTCTCCTACTGCAATGGGTTCGAATACTTATGCAGCCATAACGTTGCCATTTTTCTTTAATATTATCTAATTTACTTCTTTCCTTTTTTGCTTTGAATGTGTGAAGGAGGTTGTATATATAACCGATATTAATCGCTGCTTCAAAGAGTCATGGCTACAATCTTTAAAGCAACAAAGCTGTGCAAGGGTCTGAATACTTTTGCAAGTCCCTGTATATCATAGTCAGTCTTTGTGTGTCTGTGAATCAGTGTGCAGGAGTTGTGTATCAGTATTTTCGTGTATCCGAGTGTGTGAATGTGTGTATAAGTTTGTAACAAGAGTGTGCGACTTTGTATTTCAGAATGCCTGTGTGTCTGAGTGTAGTAAAGTGGCTGTGCATGCGCCTGTAGCACTAACCTTGCCCGCAGAGGGGATCTGCACAGTGATGGAGGGGGTGGGCAGGAGTCCGGTGTTTGGGTGCAGGGCCTGGGGGTGCATTGGTCGCAGGGTGGTCTGAAACACACACCCCCGATAAATCAAATGTCTATTGATCGATCAATACCATCATATTGCTCTATGCTTAAAAAAAAACCATAAAGGCAATTTGAAAAACCTGACAAACCCTATTACCCCTCTCAAGAAAGTAAAAAAGGCTAATTCTACAGGTCTGGCGGGATTTGTTTCTTTCTATAACCTCCTGGCAAAGAACTCTAGAATGCAGAACAAGAACAAGGCACAGAGTCGTTCTACCCAGAATTTAACACTACAGAATCTAACTTGGATATCTGGGATGCCGCCAAGTCGTAAAGATCTAGAAAGGCCAGCAGCGTGTTCCTGTTCAGCACAGAGAGCAAGACTCCAAAAATAAGCTGACAGCATACAGAATCAAGTGTGAATCAAGTGCTTGCTCATATAAGCCATGTCCACAGACAGTAATAGTAAACTAGGTCTTGAAACGGCTTTGTATTGGGAGGGCAGTGTGGAGTACAGGTCTTACCGTTGTGCTGTGTGCCCAACGCAAACAACATATCACACAAAAACAAACAATTTCACACCCCACTGCCCTGAGAAACATAGGAGCAGACACACAAGCACACAAACATACTTCACAATTTCCTACCATCCCCATTGCCTGCACTTGGACTCACCGAGTCAGTGAACCCCGACTGCTGGTTGGCATGTTCCAACTGCTTCTGGAGGGGGATTCCTGCATTTGGTATAAAACCTGTAGACACAGAGGAGAAAGGGAGGGAAGCACGCAGATTAAGAAGAGAAAGCGTTCTGCTGATTTTGTTGAGCACGCAGTCCAGAAGTTGCGTCAGCCGAGGAGAGTTGCCCCAGAGCAAGAGGGAGCACCACGCAGCACAGCTCAGTCCAGACACTGTGAGCTGGGGGTGCACAGAGAGCGCTCTGGCACTGACCTGGCTGGGAGGTGAAGTGGCTGTGAACCGTGTAGTTCTGCTGCTGGTGAGGGAGGTACTGCATGGCCTGGAAAGCTGACGGACCTACAGAGACAAGAGTGAGAGAGACAGAAAATATGAACACCCTGGCAAACCACAAGTCAGCATCAAGCACAGGGCACAGGACCAGTAGAATCCACAGCCTGGCCTATAGGACTGGAGCTCTACAGGCCCAAAAGGGCTAGTGATATACTGTAGATCTGTATTAGTGGCCTTCACATGCCTTTTTGCAGTATGTAAAATGGATGAATATGTCTCTGTACTAGTAAAATGCATGTGCTCTGAATGTCTGAGGCAAGATAAGCCTCACATTTCACACACATTTGATTTTAATATGCTTCATGTAGTGTGGACATTCAGCTAGTTATTAATTATATACATAGTGTTCAGGGAGGGAGAAACGTTTAGTGCTTTTTAACACAAAAAACTCACACGGGCCGGGCTGACTGGGAGACTACTGGCTTGTTACAAATGACTACCATTTTCATCAGTTTTAAAACTAAGTGAATGACTTTATTGTAGTATTGACTTGACTGCTTAACTCTCCCACACACACAGGTTAACACTTGTTATACCCACATTATGTTCTAAATGTTGACATCTGGCATAAAAATGCTGTTGCTTATTTATTTTGACCGACAAATAAATGTAGATGTGAAAAGGGTTAAACATGTAATAAAATGTATATAGCCAAACACACTGGTATGATGCACACATAAACTAGCGCACATGAGGCAGAGGAAGATACTCCTCATGTGTGGAATGAGGAGTGAAATAAAAATGTACAAAAATATGAACTCTTGAGAAACAGGCATAGAGAAAACATCCTGTGCATAAATGTTTCTTCTGCAACGCAACACATGAGCTGCAAATGAATGGAGTGATTGTGCACCTATGGTACTGAGCTGAGACACATTGTGCATCTGAGAGAAGGAGCTGAAACTGTCTGTCTTGTCCTGGGGTGCGGGCACACAGAGTTACATTACCTCTCAGTTGTGGGCTTCCAGTGTAGCTGACTGGCACAGGCTGTCCAGGGGCATAGTGGGAAGTGTGCTGAGACTGGGTGACGCTGTAGGGGCCGTGCGCCGATTGGCTGGTTTGGTACTGGGCGTGCTCCGAGCTCCCGGCAGAGAAACCGGTCTGCGTCTGGAAGTGACGTCCCTGCGAGATGGCAACACCCACCAATCAGATTCATTTCACCTTCAAAGGCTGCCACACCCCCCCAATCACTCTACACCCCAGTGCTCTTTGGGATGATCCCTCACACACCTACTGTTGATAAAACCCTAAAAATACTGCGTCACTTTGTTTTTTAAATTGGGAAGAAACAAGCACATATTACAACACCCCGATTCGCAATGTGCAATGCTCCTGACATGCTGTGTGTGCGTGTGCACTGACATCCAAAGGACAGCAGTGCTGTTCTCTAGCAGGGCATGCTCCCTGGAATTTTCACATATCCATGCAGCAGTAGGGACATCCAGGGAACTTAAAGACCTCAGTGGTGTAACGGATGGATTCAGTCGTAAGAGCTCAGAGTTCAATTAAGTCATTAAGAGAGTGTAATGTAAGTCTCATGTAAGAAGAGAGGGTCCGTGTCTGTGTGTGTACATGCTCATGTGAATTCACAGACACTCACTGGCATGACCGGACTCTGAAACAGCTGCTTACTGCGCTCAGTCAACAGAGTACCAGGACGGCCGTGACTGACTGGACTCCCTGAAAGAGAGAGAAAAGAGATACGGAGATTTTAAATAACTGACTACAAGAGGAAGGAGTGAGATGGGTATAGAAGGGGCATGAGCACTCAAGGAGTGCAGGGCCCCAGACACTTCTCTGAGCACTGCAGGAGGCCTTTCACAGCAGTAATACAGACCAACATGGCTGCCAACATGGTTGCAGGGAAACGCTCCTGATCAGATGACACCAGTCAGCTAGTCCTCAACAAAAGACGCACATAGCACACAGAATACAAAAAATGAAACCTATGGAAAAAAAACTTCACAATTTCGTCAGGGTAAAATTCACAAAAAAGTCTTCCATCACATGGCAAAGATGACTAAAAACTGTAAGTGAGTGCCTGTGACAAGTCCTCTACTGGGGTGCGACCAGGAGGTATATTTGTGTGTGTATATGATGAATAAAAATGTCTTTACAAAAATACGAGCTCTTGAGAAACAGGCATAATGAGAACTACCGAAGAGCTCTTTAAAACCTGAAAGTGCCAAAGCTATGTGTTTCGGATCTACTTTCACCCCAACCTGAGCTTGATTTCATTAAAGAGTACAACACAAACTATAGAAACAGATCGAGACGCAAGGAGAAGCGCTCACAGCTGTAAAAAAACACACGTGTGAACGTGTGTGTGTGGGCAGGACTCACCCTGCATGCTGAGGAGGTGCTGTCCAGAGTGGATCGCTAAACCGGGCTGATAGGCGGCGGAGGTCAAAGTGGTCATGTCACTGAGAGTAAGAAAAGGGCGAGATGGTGTCACAATTCACTCTTCACATCAGACGATTTAACTCCTAATCCCAAAAGATCCTGGCAAAATCAGTCCAGTAGACTACACTTCAGGATCATCAACACTTCTGCAACCACTTCTGATCCAGATCAAATGATGCACCACTATCATTTAATCCTGCTTGAAAATGGCAATCTAATTGCAAATGTGAAAAATGGTGAGAAAGACCTCCACAATGCAGCACCAGAGTAAAATGTAAGGGCCAGTATATAAAGGTATGGTGATTTTCAAGCAACCTCTGATATCAATTAGTTAACTGAACTGATTCTTTGGATCTCATCTATTTGTAGTTGAAAAAGAGCTTTTAAACCTGCAGGATTAAGGCTCTCAAATCTGTAGGTTTTCAGTCCAAAAGGGAAGAGGGCCCAGACATGTCCCTGTTATCTCTGCCTCTGAAAACACACCTGTCCGTGTTCCCTTCCTCCATCTCTTACCTCTGTTCTTTTCTTCGCCTCTTCTCCTCCTCATGCAAAACTTTCTTCAGCTGTAGGAAGAGCTGGTGTTTCTCCTCCTGAAGGCCTTGAAGTTTCTCCTCCATTTTCATGATCTGGCAGACAGCAGAAGAAAGGAACAGGTCAGCACAGGGAGAGGGGATACTCTGCTGAGGATTCACATTGATCATCAATGGGAAGGAAAATAGGATCAAAAAGGTTAAGAGTCCCAGAGAGCATGACTAGAACACCCCTGTAACTTGTATAAAGATCAACTTGGACTTTAAAAGGCTCAAACTCTAAGCCAAGACGAAAAAGCATTTTCAGCCACCATTGTGCCTGGTTAACTTCTACAGTGGACAGTCATCATCTGGATTTCGCAGAATTGTCAGAGGGGCAAGTGACTGGGCTGGGAAACTGGCGTTTTCTGCCCGTTTCACCTGTTCCTTGGTCTCTTCCAGGGACATCCTCTCCTCCATCTCCTTCTTCCTCTTCCTCTCCTGCTCCTCCTTCATCTTCTGCTCCATCATCTTGTCCACCTCTTCCTCCTCTGCAAGAGTCAGGGACACAGATTAAAGTAAGGGGAGCGCTCCTGCACAAGTGAATACATTCTGCAAGTCTCTGACGCTCAGTCTCTGATCTGGAGGGATGCACAGGAGAAAACCACCCATTTTGGAACAATGGAGTCCTACCTGCGCATCATACCAAGTTTATCTGAGCACGGCAAACTGATCAGATTTAAGGCCCAAACAGGGATGAGGATTTTTGTTTTACAGGGACTGCATTACGTCAACGAACGTGAGAGCGAATCGCCCTGGCTTACCCTGTCTCTTGCGTTCCCTCTCCCTCATGATGTGGCGGTGCAGTGCCCGCGCCATGGCATTGGACAGCTTCGGGCGTTCCAGGAGGGCAGGCATGGCGCCGGGGGTGTCAGAGTCACCTGGGAGAATGAGGAGAAGAACAAAAAGGCTGAATCAGATCACCGGGGCCTCCAAAATCCTTTACTTCAAAGCTGCTGCTCGCATAGCCAGCCTGCGGAAGATCACCTTCCACCCGCAGCTCCTTGGGTGTGGTCCCCAGTCTGTCCCCAGAGGGGATGCCAAGAAAACAACGAAAACTATTCGACTTATGCTGCTGGGGTTTTTAAAATACCACTGATCCAAGTAATGCATGCTCATGATTAAAACTAAAACACTCCAAATTACATCTCTCTTATGGCCCTCCCCCCCCATTCCAAGTGCAGGACAGGGAGACACCAGGGCCAGTCCCGACAGGACTGAGCAATAAGACTCCCTTCTTCACTGGGACCAGGAAGCAGGCCTTGGGAAAGGGGGACAGTTCAAAGATCCCAACTGCCTTGTCCCGCATTTCTGTGGTTCAATGGGGGAAGTGGGGGGGTCAGGCGACAGCAGGCAGAGGACACGCTGACTCCATCGACAGCCACAGGTGACCCCAGGCCAGATCACAAACAGAGCCGTTTTGCCACAAAGCATTACTTTGGACTTTGATTTGCCGCTGAAATAACCAAATCTCTCATCGGATATACACGGGAAAGCTCATTCGCAAATCGTGCCAGCGTGAAAGAATAACTGCTGTACAACCCGGGATGCACTCGTGTTGTGTTTTTAACACTGTAGCCAAGAGGCACAGCACACTGAATACGAGGCTGCTGCATATTCAGTATTTAGTATCTATGGTACTTTATACCACTGGCTAAAGAACATCTGGGATATTCTACCTTTATTCTGAGATCACGGCTACTTCGCTTATTTCTCAACTTTAGACAAATAGTTTAAATATATATTTCACTATATTCTCTGACAACATAGCTAATTTGAAGATTCACTATAGAAACATATCAATACGCTCTTCATCTTTTTGGTTAGGTTAAAGCGCAAGAAATTCTTTCATATAAAACCTGTACAGGTTTACACTCCAACCAGCCGTGTATTTTACGTTACTATTATTAATCTTAATGCCATTTAGCAAGTCGACTACATTAGCTAAAGTTCCGTAGTAAACAAAATAATGCGACACAGGTACGAAATCAAGGCAGTTAAAAACCGTTAAATCGATTTTCTAAATACTAGCGAAGTTTTTCAGAATAACTTACTGTCCGTCGCTACAACCGCCTGTGTAAATTTACTGATGAATTATAACGAAATTAGACCAGAACCCAGCGACACCAGAAAAAGAACCATTTTCTTTCCGTTGCGCAGTTTGAAGCTGAGCGCGGATGCTGGACCGTATGCGACAGTAAACACGGCGCCTCATTTTTCACAAATCTTACCCGATTTTCACCCAAAACTCTCGGAGAGACACGGTGCCAACCCCTGTCGCTCGCTTTCCTCCTCTACGCTTCTAGACAAGTTAATAACTATTCTTAATGGAGTGCCACCTTTAACGTATTTAATTTTATTTGTACAGAAAAGGTCTTAAAAATAAAATTGCTTAAAGCAGCTAACGGCGCACTTCCGGTGACGAAGTCCAAAAGCTGCCAAACGTCAAAGGTCAACAAGACCGCTTCCAGGGAGCGTCCCATTGCATTGTGGGTGCCGTAGTTTTGTACATTCGTTAAATAGGAATCCAGAGTCCCAAGCCAGTTTTCGCAGAAAGCAGTTCTTCCCATCATACGTAAACAGTTCTGTGGTGCCAAAGAGGCTACAGCCTAGTAGTATGTAGGACCAGTGTAGTAGTTACATACTAGTCTTCAAAAACACTATCCCCTTTGTTTTAGCCAAATTAAGTTCACAAACGCATTTGAACCAAGTCAACTGTACCCACAGCTGAGAACAGCCAATTCAGGTGTTGAGGAATGCTACTTCAATCATTGTAGAAGTTCTGGACAACCTATTATTCAGATAACACCTAAATTACTGCATTCTGAGATGCTGGCTCAGGTTTAGAATGAAGATTAGATCCAAATAAAAGTGGAATTTTGGATGTTTGACACCAGAACTAGTATTCATAGGTTTAGAAGGGTATACAAGCACTTGGAGAGGCCAGGAATTCTTAGTACGAGCTTTTTTTTTAAAAAAAAAAAAAAGTTCTCAAACTCACAGGGTAAATGCTGTTACACAAAACTAATGAACATAATCCATGACTATTAAACACTGTAGCCCACACAGCTTTACTTTCATTAGTTGCTTTGCACACTGCATGTTGCAGGATATGCATCAATTGAGTCCATTTCAAGAACCCCACCCTCCAGATACCTCTAATACTACCCCCTACCTCCATTACAATGTCAGGAACAGTGATCAAGTCAAGGAAGTGAACAGAGGCCAGAAAGCAAGCTTTGATTTGCATCAGTTTTTATTTAGTGGGATCAGGTTACATTCAGATCATGAATCTGTTTCGCCTCCTGTGAACTCCAACTCCTATTACAGCAACACAGACCACACCCAGCGCAGTTGCCACCACAGCCAGGGCCACCACTGTGGAGGAACCTGGAAGAGAGCAGAACTCCACATAAGACATGAGGTACTCAATAGCAAGATCAAGTCACTTTAGTCTTGAGAGCCCTGATGAATCTCGGGTTTACCTTTTGATCTCTGCTCTTTTAATCCCAGGAGGTTGCGAGCCTCAGGCCCCAGGAAGGCAGGGTCCTCTTCCTGCACAGTTATGGGACCAATTACTGCATCACCCTCCCATTCTACAACAGAAAGCTTATTTTGAGCAAGAACTTTTCATCCTGTAGCTGGACCATCTTCTACTTAAGATGGATTCAATTCACTAGTTTTAGAGTGAGAAAAAAAAAACATTAGAATGGATAAGGGGACTTGCTTTGATCACATCTTAAGGTCAGCCAGCCACACAATACCATTTAAATGCAGTTATGGTCCCAGGTTCAATCTGATAGTTCAAGCAGAAGCCACCCAAAACTTGGAATGAGAGAGAGAGCCTGACCTCTCTTTGCATACAAGGGTAGAGATCTGCGGCGCCTCCTACAGCTTCCAATGTCACAGCAGGCACACACCTGGTCACTACCATCTACAGAGGTCCACCTGAAACAGGAAGGATCACAAGAATAGAGCAGGCAAGGACACCTACTGCCCATGCCCCCCCCCCCCAAATCACCCTACAACACACACCTGGCTCCAGAAGCAAAGAAGCAGGCCTTGTTCACAGGGTCAACATTCTGGGAAGCATCAGCTACTTTCAGGTGGCAGGTGATGTAGATCTGTAATCAGCAATAAGTCAGTAGAGCTGTTGACCATGCAACATTAGAAAGCCAGTTAAACAAAGGAGTTACCATGTTTCTGGTGTCCATGTAGAACCTGAAAGCATCCAACTGCAGTTGCAGTTTAGTGGGGTCCTGGGACCTTGGTCTGAACTGAGAATTGGAACCTGTTGCTTTGGCATCAGTCAGGCACCTGGGTGATGGGGAGGGTAAGGGAAGAAAATTGCAGTTTCTTCAAGAAAAAGGGGGTACAAAAAAACCAAAACAAAGCTACCCATGGTTCTCAATGAAGTCATATCTTGGAACCGAGTTCTTGTCTGGAACCAAGGTGGCCACACAGCTGTCCACAAAGAGCCGGAGAGGCTGGTGGTCAGCCTGGGTGACAGAGGCCTCGATGTTCAGGATGTCCCCCAGGTAGAACACCATGGAGGACCTCGGAGACGTCCAGTCATCTGCAGAGACAGGGCAAATGATGGCCATCACTTGGGGCTTGCAGGCAAGCGTGCAGGAGGAAGAGAGGCCCTCCCCATTCCCTTACCATTCATGAGCACCAGGGAGAAGTTCAGGAGACCTGCAGCAGACATGGTGGAGGCAAAGGGGACCCAGGTTGGTTTCAGGGCATTGCTGCTCACGTTGTGCAGCCTTTGAAGAGAAAATTGCTCACTCAATCCAACACTGCAACTTGTTCTACATGGACTCATGGCCTTTAGCAGCTTAGAGCAGGAATGGCCAAGGTTCTCAAAAGCTGCAGGCTTCTAGGTCTGGGCACAGGCAACCCGTGCCAAGTGCATTCAGGCAAGACTGGACCTTGAGGGACACCAGAAGTTGACCCATTAGTAACCTCTATTACCTGGTATAGTGGCATTCAATACCAACACTGGCTGGAGACGTCCTCACAATGGGAGAGTGAGAGAGCGCAGTCGGCTTGTACAGCAGGGAGAACGTGTAGACAAGCTGATCAGCAGGCATCTGCAAAAAGTCACATGGAAGGTGTTGCTAAAATATTGTAACCCTACAGGGTTCAGGTGGGCACCCTTGCCACCACCGCACCTGGTCAGCCACCCCCCAAAAACAGTCAGGGACATGAACCCAGGCCTCCAGCGCCACTTAACAGGGACCCAGCCTGTTGAGCTTAAAAAAAAAAAATCTCCCCTCAGCCCAGCAGCTGTGGGCCCTGCTATTACAGGGAAGGGCAGCGACGTCACTGCTCTGGTAAGCCAGCTTTCACACTCAATGGTGTCCGAAAGCATTACAATATCATAGCTTTGATTGATAAACTATTCAAGCTCAGTTGCTCAAGAACTAGTGATCTAGGCTCAGGCTGCAAATTCAGGTGGGTTAGGATAGTCAGTTCCTTATTCATTCACAAGCTTCTCCCATTAAGAGAGGCTTACTACTTTACATCAAGTTTGCCCGTTCTAAACTAGAACCACCCCAGGACTTGCAGAATAAGGATGCCTTCCTAAACTAGAAAGGAGTCGCCATTTAACATACCATCAGCTCACTGCCACACGCCTGCAGCTCAGCCTCGAAGATCAGGAGCTGCGCCGCGGTGTCCTGCCGGGTGACCGCACAGTCCCCCAGGCGGAGATCCGAGGCGCCGATCAGCTGCCCGGTGCCGAACAGGTCCGTCTTGACCTGCACCACGATTGTGCTCTCTCCACACTGCACCGACACGGACAGCGGGACCGTCTGCCGATATTCGACAGGCAAAGAGCTGAGCTGCAGTCTCCCTCTCCTCACCGGCGAGAAAGACTTTAAGGACAAGTCAGCCCACGAGCCGGCATCGCAGAACACCGGGATGAGACACAGCAAAAACAAGAAGAGATGGAATTTACGCTCAAGCGCCATCACGCAAAATTAAACAACCACCAGTTAACAAATTCACATTGACTAAGAAGAGTGGGGGGGCGTTTTATAGTCGCCAGGGCAGCGCTTTCCCGCTTAAAATTAAGCGGCAATTAGTCTCATTTGCACGTGCGCTTTTAGCGTCTTATGATGCAGATACGTTAATTAACTGGATGGACAAAATATCGTTTCTAGGCGCAAGAAGACCTTAATTATCTCAAACGATGGGCTATCTGTTCATTTCGGTGAGCAAGACTAGGACTACAGCTCATCAGGGTCGGCTAAACTACCCTCAAAACGTTTAATTGATCTTAATAACAACGGGAAGATTAAGAAATAGGATAATCAAACAGCGTGTGTGTTTCGTCTTATACATTGTGTAAGATTTCCTTCATTAATCCGATGAAATGCTGGAGGCGTATAACGTCCAGACAAACCAGTCATCATTTTGAGCCGGAAGACAGAAATTGAAAACATGGACCCCAAAAAGCATTCAGGCCACTGTAGGGATCACCACACGCCCCCAGAAGTCCGTCTTTGAGTCTCATATTACAGAACACTGTCCGGGTCAGAAGCAACTTGTCACTTACACGTTAAAATTCGATATTTTTACACGTCAGTAATTAAAGTTACATGTATGATTTATTTTATCAACGTTTTATATTTGGGGTTAAGCAATAGGAAGAACAGCTATTTCACTCGAGAATGTCCCAAGAACAGTTATTTCATACGAGAATCTTATTTGATTTCTTTTATTAAGTGCAAAAGCAATTCTCAACAAATACAAACTTTCGGACAGCTGGAAAACATGAAATAGTGACTTCAAGACGATAGAAAAAAATAAATAAAACAAGTATATAGACGTTAGACAGTTGGGTTCAAAATCGTAAAGTACACACCCGTGAATAAGAAAGAAGAAAGAAAAAGAAAAAATAAAACATAAAAGGTACAGAGATCGAGGTGTGGTTAAGGATGGGATATTTTAAAGTAAATTAAATATGCCGACTTTTGGCTTGTTCTAATTAGGCAATTGTATAGGTTACTTGCCCTACTCTTATTTGCTGGAATACTGTGCACTGAGGGTTTGTATCAACGCAGACTGGATTCGTGAGAATGGTTACAATAACTTATACATTTTCCTGAGAAGTATCCTCATGATAGCAGATCACATCTTTACCGGTTAACAAGACACGGCGACTGTTATTATTGACTATTTTAAAAGGTGATCCACCGTCACAAAAAGGACGTATAGTGTTTACATTTGTAGATTTTGCAACGAGAGAGTTAGGTGCATACATTAATTGCACCACCTTAATTTGATTTCGCTCACTTTAAAACTTTGCTAAAGATCAGCCGGGTTTTATTCAACTTTTTGTCTTAACGTTGTGATTGCGACATTTTGTTCCTGAATTATATATTGCAGACTATTTTGCTGTTAAATCCTGCATCTTTTAGTCGCACGTCTTCAAACAGAACGCTGCTGTCATTTTTTTTGTCAGATAAGTAATATTATAGTAGTTTTTCATTTTGTTGTTGGTGGTGGTGGTTTTTACATTCCGATTACGTTTTATAAAGACTGAAGATGATGGTTTCGTTTGGTGACGGAGCGTCTTGAGAAGGCCGGAGGTACGGACGTCTGTTCGACAGTCGCTGTTAAAGAAAATTGAATGGATAGAAATAAGGAAACCGCGTTCTTGAGGGTTTTTCTTATATGCTGTCACCTGGATAACCCAATAGATTGAGATATGCGAATCAGAACATTTTAACAGGGGTATTAATCTCTCTGTACAATCAGTACCCAGAGCAGTTTATATAACATACTGCCTATATCAAGAGCGGAGCTGGAATACCGGGGGAAAGTTCGCCGGAAGTTCGAAAACGATTTTGGCACGCCTGTAGCGCTTTCACGAAACCTCCTAGGGTTACGAAAACACTTGCTTTGTGTATCAAGTACATTGTGAATGTTTTAA